TTTTGGGGGGAGATTTCATGCGTGGATATCAGCCTGTAAATTTGCAGGCAACTGGTAAACCTGATGGGCAAAGAAAGCAAGAGCGGAAAGACTAAAGGATAACTACCAAGATGGCATTATCACATGGTATAAACAAGACAAATGACATCTGATCTTCTTATGCAGTGATGAGCTAAATCCACCGTGGGCCATAAGCTGGGATGTCAGCTCTAGGTCTCTTAGGTCCCCCCAGCTTAGACCTGTGTGAGGAGATGTGGGACCTAGTCCTGGTTTTATCTGGCCGTTGCGTAAGGTTCTGGTGCTCATAGTTGGATAAGTATTTTCACATGGCCATTGAGCTGTCTGTCACTGTTGATTCCTTCTTACCTAAAAATGGTTGACGATTTCCATTTAAGGGGACAGCTTTTTTCGACTTTGCTTTCTGCTTTCTAAACAGTTTGCAGTCTCCGGCTGATGCCATTTGTCTTCACAGTCACCTACTAGTCTTGGCCGTGATCATCATCTATAGTTATTCCCCTTCAACATAACACAACTATAAGAGATACAGTGCATCCTGTGTTGAAAACGTACATAAAACTGCAGCCCGGAGCAAGGGAACAATGATCTCTAAGAAAAATCAGTCCCTGAACACTAACTAATACAGCCGCTTGTTGTCATCTTGAAAACAGAAATCAGATCGAATTCTTTAATGATTTCTGATTGGGTGTCTGCTAGCTGTGGAGTATACCACCTCTCATTGTTTTTGGACTGCCTTTTTTCTTTGTCTTCTGCCCATTATCCAGGAGTGGAACATAGGCACTCGCCCAACTCATGCCGGCTCAATCTATCCTTTGCTATTTCATACAGTTCACCCCATGTCCTCCTTATCTTTTTAATTTCAATCTCTGGCTCCCTTCTCCGTGTATTTTTGGTCTGTCTGTATTTCTCTGTCCCTGTGGGTTCCCTTGCAGAGACATTTTAGTTATGTTTTCAGGTTTTCTCAGTGTGATTCCTATTCAAAAACAGTATCTTTTCTTCGATGGGGTTTCAATGCTGAAGTGGTTTTTCTCAGAGGATTGTCGCCGGAGAGTTCCTGTTTTGTGTGACCTTGTCGGCAGAAGGTTAGCCATTCACCGAGGGAGACCAAGCCATATTGTGTAAAACCTTGCGGCGTGAATATGATCTTCTATACTTTTCTTATCTCATTTATGGGCATTTGTCAAGTTCTCTCTTAAAACTGAACATTTTGTGATTCTATCATACCATTCTTTTCCTCTGTTGTTTCCTTAAGCTCAACATTAGTGAAATTATCGTTCGATATAATTCCCTCTATTCTGTGCAGGCAACAGTTAACCAATTTTTGCAATTTATCAGCAAAGAGTTACAATTGTTTTCCTTGTTCCATAGTTTTAGTTGTTCATGTTTCTGCTCCATACAGCAGTACTGATTTGACATTGGAATTAAACATTTCAAGTTTAGTATTTGTATTAATTTACTGTGACCGCTACAAATGTCCTGTGACCTCTACAAATGTCCTGTGACCTCTACAAATGTCCTGTGACCTCTACAAATGTCCTGTGGCTTCCACAAATGTCCTGGTGCTGTTAAACTCCTCTTGCCTTTCGTGTTCTTATTTTAGTAATTTTAACTGTGGAAAAATTAGAAACAGTTGTGTGTGTTTTATACAGGCGATTCTAACTGGGTACACCAGTACACCAGGGGTAAATGTGTGTGTTTTATACAGGAGATTCTAACTTGGTACACCAGTACACCAGGGGTAAATGTGTGTGTTTTATACAGAAGATTCTAACTTGGTACACCAGTACACCAGGGGTAAATGTACGTGTTGAGTCAAAATTTAAAGTCTGAGTGTCGAGTTAGTCAGTTGTCAAGTTAAAGACAGGTGTCGAGTTAAAGACAGTTGTTGAGTTAAAGACAGATGTCAAGTTAAAGACAGGTGTAGAGTTAAAGACAGTTATTGAGTTAAAGACAGTTGTTGAGTTAAAGACAGATGTCAGGTTAAAGACAGGTGTAGAGTTAAAGACTGGTGCCAAGTTTAAGACCTATATCGAGTTAAAGAAGGGTGTTGAGTTTAAGACGGATGTCAGTTAAAGACAGGTGTAGAGTTAAAGACTGGTGCCGAGTTTAAGACCTATATTGAGTTAAAGAAGGGTGTTGAGTTTAAGACTGGTGTTGAGTGAAAGACGGGTGTCGAGTTAAAGACAAATATCGAGTTAAAGACAAATATCGAGTTAAAGACAAATATTGAATTAACTCATTCAGTACCAATCAAGTTATCCCGGGTGTATTCATTCAGTTTCCATGATCTATGTTTCTCACCTTGTTTTCCAGTCACTTGTTACATTAACCCACTGTGCCACAATTGTTCCGTCAACTCCTTGACTCATAATGTGAATATTTAACTCATTCAGAGTCACTATTTACTGGTTGAAGTCACATCTTATAAGAGTAGCACAAGTTTTATTAACACATATATGATACCGAAACAGTTGAAGATGAATGTTGAGTTAAAGACAGATGTTGGGTTAAAGATTAGATGTTGAGTTAAAGATGAATGTTGAGTTAAAGATGGATGTTGGGTTAAAGATGGATGTTGAGCTTAAAGTTAAGATGAAGGTTTGACTGGTTAAAGATGGATGTTGGTTAAGATGGATGTTAAAGATGGTTCCAGCTGGTGTTAAGTTAAAGATGGATGTTGGGTTAAAGATGGATGTTGAGTTAAAGATGGATGTTGGGTTAAAGATGATTGATTGTTGAATTAAAGATGATTGTTGAGTTAAAGATGATTGTTGAGTTAAAGGCAGATGTTGAGTTGAAGATGAATGTTGAGTTAAAGGCGGATATCGAGTTAATGACAACTCTTGTACTCCTAAACCACTCAGGATCTATATATATATACACCCCTTCCCCTTTTCTTCCTATTCCACAATAATAATGTCTGTAAGTTTTCCTTTTAGAAAAAAATTTGGGCAGCTAACCCAGTACAAACTGGCAACGTGTTTTATGCTGCCATTGTTAAATTTTTATTAAATTGATTATGTTCATCACCTGCACAGTCATTGTCTTCCTGTTATATACTGTTTATACGTTATATAGGGCTCGAAGTTTGTACCCCCATTTCAGTGTGTGTATGTGTATTTATATAATGGCTGGAATCCAGTCCTGCAACTTTAGGCTCTCTGAACAATGTTCTTCAAACAATCTTTCTTGAACGCCCTCATTTCTTTAGTCCATTTGTTTGTTTGTTTCCTGTTGAATGCCAAAATGCTGATTTTCTGTCATCTTTGCTGCTCAGGTTGTGCCTAATATCGCCGCCGTTCATTGTCTTAGAACTGTGGATATCAGCCATTCTCTTTCTGCACTTTGTAAACTTCTTTGGCTCTGAGAAGCCACAAACTGACATGTCCGGTTGGTTCCATTTCCCTGTAAGAGCCACGTGACTCACTGTAGAGACATGTTAATGAGATGTCTAGCAAATAGAATGTATTACATCAGCATTTGTGCAGATGTTCAGTGTGTGTCAGAGAATGGCGCTCAGGTTGCTAACAATAGCATTTAGAAAACTAGAAAAAAGAGGGGGGGGGGGGGGGGTGTTCTTGTAAAACAAAAAATGGCTTATTTTTTTAGAATTTTCCACATCATATTTTTCCCTATTGGCCCTAGGCAGATACACTCCGACATTTAAGGAAACATCCCTGACTGGTTTTCTTTATGACATGCTTGTTAAGGGCAGTGGGTCTATTGTTCGAAACACACAGTTTTTTTTTTTTTCAAGTATGTGTTTTTAAATGTCCATGGTTTCAAGACCGAGTTTTTAATCATCCCTGGGGATGAAAGGGTTAAAACTAATGTGTACGATGTATAGAGTATGGTGAGTTGCATGATAGTTTAAGAGTTAAAACTGTGATATATGCACCAGTCACAAGTTACTTTATTTTTTGTTTTGTTTCCACTTTGCCAGATCCAAACGAGTTGCCCTTGGTCCTCACTCACCTACCTCTCTTGGTTTCTCCGACTTTGGTCATATGACCCAACGGTAAATGCTGAGAATTATACTAACTTACATAACATATTAGTGTGATAATATTATATTTTGCTCCATGTGCACGTGTGCTGGTTTATCATGGTTTAAGGTGTTTTAAAAATTGGATTTCTGTGTGTGTGTGTGAATAATTGTCTGCCTTGCTCTCTTTATATCTCTTTACTCTCTTCTTCTCAGTCCTCTGTCTGACTCTCTATATTGCATCTTTCTCTCTGACTTCTGTCTGTCTATCTATTTCTCTATCATGTCTTTATTTGTATCTTTTGTCTCTCTGTCCTCTTGTCTCTTTCCTCTGTTTATGTGTCTGTCTTTCTGTCTTCTCTCTCTATATTTATATATGTTATCAATAATTAATCACAAGACATTTGTATAGTAATAATCCATCAAATCCTACAAGTGTAATTTTGTGTGTGTGTGCCTTTGTGTGCACATGCATGCTGCTCAGAGATCTTAGACTATTGTATACATCCTTCCCAGTGTACAACTGAACGTTTTGATCAGAGCATTTACCACAAACAACAAAAATTGGGGCGCTCAAAAATGAATAATAATAATACTGATGTTTAATAATAATCTGCTAGTGACAAATAAATATAATAATATTGTATTTGAAATGCTATGAAATGTATAAGTGTTTCTTTAAAAGATAATTTTAGTATATGGAGGAGGCTGGGGTGCTCACCCCCTTACTAATTTTCCAGGAAGCTCTAGAGGCTCAAGCTCCCAGGTTCTGCACCCTTTGAGAACCTCTGTATGCCAGTTCACAGTGTCAGGCATTTGTAATACAGTTGTTGGTTCACATGCCAGTTAGGATTTATGTGTATTAAATGTATTATGCATATATCATTTTAATTATATATATATATATATATATATATATATATATATATATATATATATATATATATATATATATATATATATATATATATATACTTAAACTAACATACAGTATTGCACACTCTGGTTTTTTTTATTACATGCTCATTGATCACCTTTTGTTTGGTGTACAGTTCATATATAATATATATATATATATATATATATATATAATATATATATATATATATATATATATATATATATATATATACTTAAACTAACATACAGTATTGCACACTCTGGTTTTTTTTATTACATGCTCATTGATCACCTTTGGTTGGTGTACAGTTCATCTAAATAAGTTAACCTGTTTGGTCACAGAAATTGTTCATTGTTTAATATCTTAGAGACAAATTAACTGGTCATAGAAATGATTCATCCCATCAATAATTTGAAATATAGTTAGCAAGTAAATTAATGTGTTTAGCATAGAGTTAATCTGAACAAATTAACTGGTTGTTAAAATTATTCATTTTTGTGTTTTAATATGCAGTTAGTTTGTATATATTAACTTTCATTGCAGAAGTGAGTAAACATTTTAGTTAAGTTTGACATTTGGTCTCAGTAAATTAACTCTTTGATGATAACAATTTGACCTTTTGTTAGCTGTTTAGTAAAGAGTTAATCTTGAAAAATTAACTGCTGGATTTTAAGAGTTGTTAAATTAACTTTTTTAAATTATCAGGTTTTTTAGAATACATTTAATCTAGATAAATTAACTGTATGGTTTGTAGAAACAATTTTTTTATAATTGTAAGTATACAGTTAGTCTGGATAAATTATTTAAGGGGGAGGAGGTGGATTGTAGCAGGCGTGTGTGCATACTTACCAACATGTCAGCCAGCCTGTCGGTCCAGGTTAGATGTAGAGTTGGTGAACTGGTAGGTTGCTTTGTTTGGCATTTCAGTTTCAGTGATAACACAAACAATACACTGCATAATTCACTTGTATCTATTCAGGTGCATTGCTGCAGAATTTACATCAGAATTTATATGTAGCATGAAAACAGGAATCCTTTTCTGAAATGCAATCACCTGCATTAACCTATGGCTCACTCCCTCCCTGCCTGCCCTACCAGCATAACAGTGGTCCGTACAAACATTAACAGTGGTCAGTACAAACATTAACACTGGTCAGTACAAACATTGACAGTGGTCAGTACAAACATTAACACTGGTCAGTACAAACATTAGCACTGGTCAGTACAAACATTAACAGACAGATGGACACATCACACTGGCTCTTGGTAATGTGTACATATCTCATTGAAAGTTTAAAATTAACCATGTAATCTTCGGACACTTTTAATAAATGCCTGGTCACTGCTTAATTTTGTGAAGGTCACCATTACTTTATGCTTTATCCAGTTTACATTTTCACTGCTTTGCTGCACTTTAACCTATTTCATTTATAATTTCACTAAGAATTTGTTTTGCAGCTCGTTATCAGCGTTTGAATTCTCTGTGAAATACATAGCAACTGAAAAAAAAACATCTTTCTGTTAATTTCTATAGAAATCCATATTTATAGTTTGGGGGTTGGTAAGTTTTCATATCAGATTTTAGTTTTGGTGTCTATTTGATCTGTTCTGGTTCTGGGTTATAAAGAAATGTGTTGCCTAATGTTTGTTTGTCTGTTATAACACTGCTGGCTTTATTTACTAATATATTATTATTTGTTTCTTTAATGACCAGCTACTCAACTTTAGGTAGGTGGGGGATCTTTAGGGCACTTGAAATAGTTTTGTGACAGATCGATGCGCATCAAGCATATTGTGCTGGACTTGTGTTGTTGTTCATACAACAGATTAGTGATGTCAGTATCACACTATCAGTTTTTAACTTCTCAGAGTATTTCCTGGTATCCAGTGAAGGTTCAGTGTGGAAGCTGCTGTGTAGATTTGAACCTGAGACACCTGGGCTGGCAGGCGAACCTCTAGCCACTATTCTGCTTTGGCCCATCACCTGAAACAAAAAGGACTGAAATTTATGTTAAGCCAGTTGTGCTGCATGGTCTGAGTCTTATAGAATGTGAGCCAACTAATGATAGAGAGATGGGAGCCAGCAGTCATTCAGTCTGTAAGACAGATTTTAGGTTACATTTGAAGTAGACAGAACGTTTTTCATTGTGATTACTTGGAGGGAGAAATTGTTTGAAGTAGGCAGAAAGTAAATCATTGTGATTACATAAAAGGACAGTTTGAATTAGAGAGAAAAAATGTCTTGTTTTAAATATATTTGTAGAAAGTTCACAGTAGTAGAAAGTAGACTTTTGTTATGATTATTACATAGGGAAAACCTTTAAAATAGACAGATATAACTGCAATAGACCAGTGCTGGAGACACTGCAGTGTAGCAACTAGATGTTTGCCTGCTGGCCTAAAGGTCCAGTGCTGGAGACACTGCAGTGTAGCAACTAGATGTTTGCCTGCTGGCCTAAAGATCCAGTGCTGGAGACACTGCAGTATAGCAACTAGATGTTTACCTGCTGGCCTAAAGGTCCAGTGCTGGAGACACTGCAGTGTAGCAACTAGATGTTTGTCCTCAGGCCCAAAGGACTAGTGAGGGAGACACTGCAGTGTAGCAACTAGATGTTTGCCTGCTGGCCTAAAGGTCCAGTGCTGGAGACACTGCAGTGTAGCAACTAGATGTTTGCCTGCTGGCCTCAAGATCCAGTGCTGGAGACACTGCAGTGTAGCAACTAGATGTTTGTCTGTCGGCCTAAAGGTCCAGTGCTGGAGACACTGCAGTGTAGCAACTAGATGTTTGTCTGCTGGCCTAAAGGTCCAGTGCTGGAGACACTGCAGTGTAGCAACTAGATGTTTGTCTGCCGGCCTAAAGATCCAGTGCTGGAGACACTGCAGTGTAGCAACTAGATGTTTGCCTGCTGGCCTAAAGATCCAGTGCTGGAGACACTGCAGTGTAGCAACTAGATGTTTGCCTGCTGGCCTAAAGGTCCAGTGAGGGAGACACTGCAGTGTAGCAACTAGATGTTTGCCTGCTGGCCTCAAGATCCAGTGCTGGAGACACTGCAGTGTAGCAACTAGATGTTTGCCTGCTGGCCTAAAGATCCAGTGCTGGAGACACTGCAGTGTAGCAACTAGATGTTTGTCCTCAGGCCTAAAGGTCCAGTGCTGGAGACACTGCAGTGTAGCAACTAGATGTTTGTCCTCAGGCCTAAAGGTCCAGTGCTGGAGACACTGCAGTGTAGCAACTAGATGTTTGTCTGCTGGCCTAAAGATCCAGTGCTGGAGACACTGCAGTGTAGCAACTAGATGTTTGCCTGCTGGTCTAAAGGTCCAGTGCTGGAGACACTGCAGTGTAGCAACTAGATGTTTGCCTGCTGGCCTAAAGGTCCAGTGCTGGAGACACTGCAGTATAGCAACTAGATGTTTACCTGCTGGCCTAAAGGTCCAGTGCTGGAGACACTGCAGTGTAGCAACTAAATATTTGCCTGCTGGCCTCAAGATCCAGTGCTGGAGACACTGCAGTGTAGCAACTAGATGTTTGCCTGCTGGCCTAAAGGTCCAGTGCTGGAGACACTGCAGTGTAGCAACTAGATGTTTGTCCTCAGGCCTAAAGATCCAGTGCTGGAGACACTGCAGTGTAGCAACTAGATGTTTGCCTGCTGGCCTAAAGGTCCAGTGCTGGAGACACTGCAGTGTAGCAACTAGATGTTTGCCTGCTGGCCTAAAGATCCAGTGCTGGAGACACTGCAGTATAGCAACTAGATGTTTACCTGCCGGCCTAAAGGTCTAGTGAGGGAGACACTGCAGTGTAGCAACTAGATGTTTGCCTGCTGGCCTAAAGGTCCAGTGCTGGAGACACTACAGTGTAGCAACTAGATGTTTGCCTGCTGGCCTAAAGGTCCAGTGCTGGAGACACTGCAGTGTAGCAACTAGATGTTTGCCTGCTGGCCTCAAGATCCAGTGCTGGAGACACTGCAGTGTAGCAACTAGATGTTTGTTTGCTGGCCTAAAGGTTCAGTGCTGTAGACACTGCAGTGTAGCAACTAGATGTTTGCCTGCTGGCCTCAAGATCCAGTGCTGGAGACACTGCAGTGTAGCAACTAGATGTTTGTCTGCCGGCCTAAAGGTCCAGTGCTGGAGACACTGCAGTGTAGCAACTAGATGTTTGCCTGCTGGCCTCAAGATCCAGTGCTGGAGACAGTGCAGTGTAGCAACTAGATGTTTGCCTGCTGGCCTAAAGGTCCAGTGCTGGAGACACTACAGTGTAGCAACTAGATGTTTGTCTGCTGACCCAGAGGTCCAGTGCTGGAGACACTGCAGTGTAGCAGCTAGATGTTTACCTGCTGGCCCAGAGGTCAGGTTCAGATCTGCTTTGAGACAGTTTGTTTTCAGAATTGACCTTAGCTCACAGATCGACCCGCAGGTAATTTGCTGGGTAATGTTGGCTGATGTGTGTTGACCACATTCTCCAACGAGAACCAATTGGACGATCAAATATGAGTCTAACATCATATGCCTGATGCGCCACTTTTGAAAAATAAAAATAAAAAGAGTCTTGGCTACTTGACAGCACTGGATATGAATATCTCTCAGCGGTCAAACTCCATTATTGATATAGGCACACCATCTTTATTTTAATTTTACTTTACAGTATGATTCCATGGATACAGATGTAATACTTCATGTATTGAATATTTTGCATGTAGGTATTGACACAAGGTGAGACCTTTACACTCTTTAGCGCTGATGTCATTTGTTCACATTTCTTTTAGCATCATGTGTTCATTTCTTATACATCACTATGTTAGTTTTTGCTTGTATTTGTTTCCTAGATATTCGTAGTTTTTGTTTTATTTCTAGTCTTGCAGTCTGGAGATAGTTTCTGTGTTAGTTGGGGTTTAGAGCTGATAGGGTAGTGTTGTCTGGAATATGCTGTCATTGGAGAGTACATGTAGAACATACTGTCATGAGAAAGTGCTGTCAAGAACATACTGTAATGGGAGAGTGCTGTCTAGAACATACTGTAATGGGAGAGTGCTGTCTAGAACATACTGTTATGGGAGAGTGCTATCTAGAACATGCTGTCATGGGAGAGTGCTGTCTAGAACATGTTGTTATGGGAGAGCGCTATCTAGAACATACTGTTATGGGAGAGTGCTTACTAGAACATGCTGTCATGGGACAGTGCTATGTAGAACATGCTGTCATGGGAGAGTGCTGTCTAGAACATGCTGTTATGGGAGAGTGCTATCTAGAACATACTGTTATGGGAGAGTGCTATCTAGAACATGCTGTCATGGGAGAGTGCTATCTAGAACGTTGTCATATGAGAGTGCTATCTAGAACATACTGTTATGGGAGAGTGCTAACTAGAACATGCTGTCATGGGACAGTGCTATCTAGAACATGATGTCATGGAAGAGTGCTATCTAGAACATGCTGTCATGGGAGAGTGCTATCTAGAACATGCTGTCATGGGAGAGTGCTATCTAGAACATGCTGTCATGGGAGAGGCTATCTAGAACATGCTGTCATGGGAGAGTGCTATCAAGAAGATGCTGTCATGGGAGAGTGCTATCTAGAACATGCTGTTATGGGGGAGTGCTATCTAGAACATGCTGTCATGGGAGAGTGCTATCTAGAACATACTGTTATAGGAGAGTGCTATCTAGAACATGTTGTTATGGGGGAGTGCTGTCTAGAACATGCTGTTATGGGAGAGTGCTATCTAGAACATGCTGTCATGGGACAGTGCTGACTAGAACATGCTGTCATGGGAGAGTGCTGACTAGAACATGCTGTCATGGGACAGTGCTATCTAGAACATGCTGTTATGGGGGAGTGCTATCTAGAACATGCTGTCATGGGAGAGTATATGTAGGACATATTATCATGAGAGAGTGCTGTCTAGAACATGCTGTAATGGGAGAGTATATGTAGCTCATTTTGTCATAGGAGAATATATATCGAACATACTGTGATGTGATTGTTTTGTCTAGAAAATGCTGTCATGTGATTGTTTTCTTTAGAAAATACTGTGAAGAGAGTAGAAAAAAAATGTAGATTGCATTGTCAAGGACATACTATCATGGGATTGTGTTGTCTAGGACATACTATCATGGGATTGTGTTGTCTAGGACATACTATCAGGGGATTGTGTTCTAGGACATACTATCATGGGCCTATGTTGTCTAGGACATACTGTCATGAGATTATGTTGTCTAGGACATACTATCATGGGATTGTGTTGTCTAGGACATACTATCTTGGAATTATGTTGTCTAGGACATACTATCATGGGATTGTGTTGTCTAGGACATACTATCTTGGAATTATGTTTTCTAGGACATACTATCATGGGATTGTGTTGTCTAGGACATACTATCTTGGGATTATGTTTTCTAGGACATACTATCATGGGATTGTGTTGTCTAGGACATACTATCATGGGATTCTGTTTTCTAGAACATACTATCATGGGATTGTGTTGTCTAGGACATACTATCATGGGATTATGTTGTCAAGGACACACTATCATGGGATTGTGTTGTCTAGGACATACTATCATGTGATTGTGATATCTAGAACATACTATCATGGGATTATGTTGTCTAGGTCATACTATCACTGGATTATGTTGTCTAGGACATACTATCATGTGATTGTGTTGTCTAGGACATACTATCATGGGATTGTGATATCTAGAACATACTATCATGGGATTATGTTTTCTAGAACATACTATCGTGGGATTATGTTGTCTGAAACATACTAACATGGGATTGTGATGTCTAGGACATAGTATCATGGGATTTTGATATCTAAGACATACTATCATGGGATTGTGTTGAATAGGACATACTATCAAAGGATTGTGATGTCTAAGGCATACTATCATGTGATTGTGATATCTGGAACATACTATCATGGGATTGTGTTGTCTAGGGCATACTATCATGGGATTGTATTATTTAGGACATACTATCATGGGATTGTGATGTCGAGGACATAGTATCATGGGATTATGTTTTCTAGGACCTAGTATCATTGGATTGTACTGTCTAGGACATTCTTTGAAAGGATTTTGTTGTCTAAAACAAAGTACAAGGTCCTTCAATTAAGTAATGAGACTAATTCCATAACAATTTAAAAGTAAGCGCCTTGTGCATTGATGCAGCAAAAGGGCATGATCTAACAAACATTGGAACGACCTCTGTAGTTCTTCTGTTGCTATGGCCCCTAAAGTCGATGTTACGGCCCTTTGAATGTCATCAGTATCGCCAAAGAAGCATCCTTTCAAAAATAACTTTAATTTTCGGAATAGAAAATAATCACAAGGAGACAAATCTGGGGAATAAGGTGGATGGTTGAGAAAACACACCTGGCCCAAAATTCCTGTTTTGAAGATGTCTCTTACGTGCTCAACCCGCTAATGTTTTTGTTTATCAGACAACGAATGCAAGCAACTTTTTTCTTGCCAAAATCTTTAACAAAAATTTTACGAATGGTCTGTCTATTACCACCAGATTCATCTGCCATCATTTTTAAAAAAAAGTAAAGGACCCTTTTGACCCTCATTTGGACACCACAGGGGAAAAGATCTCGTGGAAGACCAAGGGAAACCCTACGTAGAACTATCATCAGGGAAGGCTCGCTCATGGGCCACTCAAACATCTAAGACCTACAACGGATTGCAACAGACCGCCGTGCATGGAGAGTCACGACCTCTGCCCTATGTGCCGCACTCGACACAAGAGGAAAGACTAACTAACTAACTCCGCACAAGATGGGTGATGTGGTCAGCATTACGCCAGCTGCCTGTACTTCCAGTGACTGCACCCAGTATACCCACTCAAGGCTGGGTCAACCTGGGAGCCAAGGTCATTTTTGAAAAAAGTCCGGCTCCGCCAGGGAGCGAACCCACGACCTTCCGATCCGCGGTAAGCATCTAGCCGCTCCGCCATGGCGACTCCCATCTGCCATCATCCTGACAGTAAAACAATGATCTTCTTGTATCCATTCTCTGACTTTTGCAATGAGTTCATCATGACAACAGAAATCCAGGTCTAGTTACATTAATGATCATTTCCACACCACTTTTAAATCGTGACTACCAGCTAAAAATCTGTGCACCAGATAAACAATTATCCCCATAAACTTGTCGCATCAATTCAACTGTCTCAGTGGCGCTTTTTCTGAGTTTTAAACAGAATTTAATGTTAGTTTTTTGCTCCACTCTGATTTTGTAACAATGCACATCTAACTAGGTCAATTAAATGGCGGCTTGTTTGTTGTCTGCTTATCAGGCGGTGATGCATTTTTGCCAGATTATAGATGAAGGTTGCTCCTTTGGATTCCATGCTTTGCTTCATAGATGGCACTTTTGTCTTGGTCGTAATAAAATCAGTCTTATTACTTAATTGTCGGACCTTTTATAATGAGATTGTGTTGTCTAGGGCATAGTATCATGGGATTCTGTTATCTAGGACATACTATTATAGAATTGTGTTGTTTATGAAATACTTTTATGTAATTGTGTTGTCTAGGACATATTTTCATGGGATTGTGTTGTCTGGGGCATACTGTGATTGGATTGTGTTGCCTGGGACATAGTATCATGTGATTATGTTGTCTGGAACATACTCTTTTGGGCTAGTTTTGTGTAGATCATACTGTAAAGAAAGTGTCTAGAACAGATTTTACAGTGATAGAATAGTGCTGTCTAGAACGTGCTGTCTTTTTTAGAACATACTGTCAGGAAGTTGGAAAAATAGCCTTCTGGGACCAACATGAGATACAGAGTGTTAACAGTCCAATGCAGCCAGTCTTCACTGTGAAGATGGCATCTGTTTGATTTGTTATCTATGCTTTTATTATCTTGAATTTATCTTCTCTGTTTTGTCTATTTTCTTCACTCTATGGATTACCACCCCCTTCCCCCACACCACCATTGTGGGATTTGGGGAGGGGGGTGGGGCGGGGGATAGACCTGACTGCCTCCTCACATGCCTGTTGTAGAAGTCGACCTATTTGAAGTTGGAGGGCATCTGCCTGAGAGGCAGACAACCAGCAAAGTCTACATACAGATAAAATGCTTTTTTAGAATGTCAATATCTGTATTTGTTTTCTTCTTGGTCTGTGATGCCCTAAGAATGTGGCATTTCAGCTCCAAAGCCTAGATGATCTTCCTTTTTAATTGCAAAGTGGTCCACAACTCACATCCTTATGTTGCTACAGACAAGATGCATGCTGTCAACATTTTCTTCATCTTCTTCTTCCTCAGCAATGCCTGGTCGTGTGCATAATCCACTGTGGGCCATAAACTGGGATGTTTTTTCAAGGTCTGTTAGGTTTCCCCCAAAGCTTAGTTGTCAGGTCTACTGGGTGTTGTCCGCCAAGACATGACACACTTGAAAGGCTGGAGTCTGTTCAGCACGAAGACACTGGCAGACAGCTGTTTGGCTCATACCAAATTTATATGAGTGTTTATTGAGTCGTCAACATTTTGACTTGGATTAGCTTGCAGATGCTAAGCCATAGACTTTTGAGGCTGTTTAAAGAAAGAGTTTAGCATAAATATGAAGTCTATGTTGATCTGTACACGCATTCTTCTTCTTCTTCAGTTTTGTATTTGAAAGGGCAGTTGGTATGTTGTGGTTTACAGCTAGGCTGTGAAACTTCGCCTTTAGGCCAAAATCATCCAGTTTCATATGGGATAAACAGCCATTGAAATGAAGCTGATCGTTTAACCTTTAATCTCTTAGCAACTTCAAGAAACCCTTCATTATTTGCCTTTTTTGACTAGCTTGATAGGGGGGAATAGGTCTGTTAATTTTCTTTTCCCTAAACTGAGACCCAGGAAGCACTAACATTTGACTGCCATTGGACACTGAAATTTTTAGCCTGAACTTCAGTTACATTATGACTAAACTGAGGAGTGTTGATAAGTTCTTTGACACAGTTTTTGTCCTTCCCAGATCAGACAATTGAATGACAATGTTGATAATCTGGGGACCCTCTACCTACCACCTGGCCAGAATGTTGGAAAAGGCAGCTAATTAGGGATGTGCTGAAATGAGATGTGTTGAGATACAGATGTTGTAGCATAGTTGTAAGTCACAACTCTGTTGCAACCACCCTTTCAAGGGCAAGATGAATGCAACTGAGGAAAAGATTGCCTGTATTACTATGCTAGATTGAACTGAGAGGCAAATTAGCTGTGGTAGAATCCTGAGGCTGTTGGGAATGAACCCCAAATCCCAGTGTCTGACCCCTGAGCTGCTATGGCAGCAGAAAGTAGTATAACAAGAACATTGTGAGGTCTATATTTGCCAGTTGTCCCGGAGGCAAAATGGCAGGAACAGAATCCTACTGCTTAGAATTGAATTCAGATCGCAGTGTTGGAAAGCAAATACTCTAACCACTGTGGCACCACAAAGTAGTGTGAAAGATGTGTTGAGCTAAGAACTGACATTGCAGAACCTGTGAGATTCCTATAAGCACTCTGTCCTTATCTTCAGCAGCCATCAAAGAATTCCGATGCTGCCAGTAAGGGTTTGATTATTTTCTCCTTCCTGCAAGTGAGAAAATGGTATGAAAACATCTAGTATTGCTTCTGCATGGGAGGTTTCTTCACCTTCGGCATGGCTTGGAAAAGAATAAACACATTTGATTTGCTTAGTCTAAAGTACTGGCTTTATTGATTGTCATTGCTTATTATTCTTCTTCTGCTACCAACCATGCCAGAATAAAGTATAGGAATTAAAAGGCTGGAGCACTGCAGCCGGTTAGTTTATGTTGTGCCGAGGTAGTCTTGCACTCACCATGCCAGCCGAGTTCCACTAGATTCTTATAAACAGGAAGTCACGCGGCAGATACTGCTGTTCCTTACCCACACAAGGCTTCAGGTTACACCAGGCAGGTGCCCTAATTTTAATGGTTGAATTGGGGGGGGGGGGATCTGGGACTCGTACTATTGGCTTGCTGGCCAGAAATTAGTTAAAGTTGAGGGAAAAAACTTTATTGATGAAATGAACTCATAAATTTTAGAGCACGAAGCAAAACTATGTTGACCACTTTAGGTACCTGCCTGGAAAGGGGTTTGGGGGGGGGGGGGGGGGAACTAGAAAGTAAGATAGCAGATACTGCTGTTGGGAAACTTTAAATTCTTTATATTCAGCAACTTTAAACTTTGTTATAAAATTCTCGTCGTTCATCCACTTCTGAACTTTGGTGCTATTTTTCTTCTTCTTAGCGTTCACCAGCTGTAAATTTTGTTGGACAATTCTGTTTGTCCACTCCTGGACCGGGGTCTTTATCCAGAACTTGAGTTTTTGTATGCACACCCTTTTTTTTTACAGACGCAGTTTTTTTTGGATGCAGACTGAAGGTTCCCCAGCCTTTCAGGCAGGTGCATTCTGAGTGTGGAGGAAACACCCATAATTAGTCGTCTCCTACAACATGCTTGTTGGGGGGGAGGGAGAGGGCGCCAGTGCATCTATTCTTTGTTCTCCAAAATGGAGCTCCCTTAACACACACTGGGAGTCATGTTCCAGAATTTGAGTTTTGCTCGCATTTGTTGGCCAGATCTGTCTTTTTTTTTTTTTTTTTTTACACAAACATATCAGATGCACGTGGCAGCAACAACTTTCATGAAAACCCATGCTCTTGTTGTGGACAAGTCTTCTTATCCTGAGCTGGTCTTGGTAGTCAGTTACACTCGCCATTGTCATGGATTTCCTTTCCTCCCTATATGTTGCACAGTTGAACACTTGGAAAGATGGAGAAGTGCCAGCTTGTCATTTTATAAATTATTTTTATAGAAATTTTAATGTCACTATATAAGTTATATTATAACTACTTTAATGTCACTATATAAGTTATATTATAACTACTTTAATATCATTATAAATATATATATATATGATATTGGATATATAGATATATATATTATATATATATATATATATATATATATTTTATATATATATATATGGATATATATATATATATATTATATATATATTTATATATATTTTAATATATATATATATATATATATACTATATATGTATATATATATATATATATATATATATATATATATATATATATATATATATATATATATATATATATATATATATATATATATATATATATAAGTGTTAGTATATATTAGTGTTATATAAGTTTTAGCAATAATAATGTTATTAAACTAGTTATAATTTTAGCAATGTTCATGACATTATCAAAATTGTTATTGTACGTTTCGTGTCATTATATAAGTTATAGCAATGTTAATGTCATTTTATAAGTTATAGTTACAGAAAAATTAATGTCATTATGTTAGTGATGGTATAGAAAAGTCATTTTCATATTATTATAGTTTTAGAAATGTCATTATGAAATTATATAAACTATAGTTATATAAAAAATGTCATTATATAAGCAGTAGTTATCGAACATTTAATTCCATTATATAAGCTATAGTAGTAGCAGAGTTAAGGGCATCACACAACTATAATTATAGAATTATTATGTGTCATTAAATTGTTAATCGTTTTAGTAAAGTTGGTGTTATCTTTTGAGCTAAAGTTAGTGAAATGTTAACATCATTATAGAGTTAGGTATGTAAGAAAGGTAATGTTATCATACAGCATGTGGTTATAGACAACTTAATGTCTTTAGTCATTTTATTAAGCTAGATGTCATCTTTTGAGCTAAGGTTATTCAAATGTTAATGCCATTATGTAGTTATAATTAAGGTAATTTAATCATACAAGATGTAGAGAACAATGTCATTTTATTTTGGTTGATAGCATCTTTTTAACTAAGGTTATTGAAATGTTAATCTCATTACATAGTTAGGGCTGTAGCAAATCTAACTACTATTCTCTTTAATTATTATTATAATTTTCGTTTTATTTCTAGTTATTTATTGCGTTTATTTTGTGTAATTTTTATTGCATACCCAGTGTTCTCTTTGTGTTATCTTTATCTTTTCTCATTGTATTGTGTCTGTGTTGTTTGTAGTATGTGGTACCTTTACTAGTGAAGTATGTTGAGGTCGTCCTCTTGCTTTCATTGACAACCTGCTCAATGGTATAATTGGCCATAGTTGTCATGGTTGCCAGATGTCTCAAGTTGGCATCACAAATTAAAAATTAGGTTTACTTTTTTTCCATCTTCTTGTCACTCTTCTTTTTCTCCTGTTGTTGCTGCTTTTGTTGTTGTTGTTGTTCTTCTTCTTCTCTTCTTCTTCCCTACTCCTCCTGCTCCTCCTTCTCTCCTTCTGTTTCTTCTTCTAATCTTGTAATTCTTCTTTCTCTTCCATTTCTTTTTCTAAATATTTTTCATATTTTTCTCCTGCTTCTTCTTCTTCTTTGTTGCTTTCTCATTTTTCTCTTCCTCATCCCTCTCCTTCCTCTTGTCCTTTACTCATCCTCCTCCTCCTCCTTCACAACTCTGCCAGTTATACAGATGATAAGATAATAGATCAAATCTAGTTATAATCTAGCCATTGATCTAGTTATAATCTAGCCATTGATCTAGTTATAATCTAGCCATTGATCTAGTTATAATCTAGCCATTGATCTAGTTATAATCTAGCCATTGATCTAGTTATAATCTAGCCATTGATCTAGTTATAATCTAGCCATTGATCTAGTTATAATCTAGCCATTGATCTAGTTATAATCTAGCCATTGATCTAGTTATAATCTAGCCATTGATCTAGTTATAATCTAGCCATTGATCTAGTTATAATCTAGCCATTGATCTAGTTATAATCTAGCCATTGATCTAGTTATAATCTAGCCATTGATCTAGTTATAATCTAGCCATTGATCTAGTTATAATCTAGCCATTGAACGTAGCCTGTGTTCGATGAGAGTTTGCTGGTTGTTCTGCTTCTTGCATTCTTGTTTTATATTAGTGTTCATTTTGTTCAAGTTTGCTACATTTCCTTGGTCTTTTTAATTTGCATTTCATTGAATTGAAGACTAAACTAAATGTTTTCTTTTTTATTTGCAAGTGACAAGTGGAGTGGGGGAGAGGGGGGGGGGGGGGGCTGATCTAGGGAAGAGGTCTCATGTCAATTCAGGTCAACATGAGTATCAGGAAAAGTCACTGAAAGTGCAGGTGGTAGGCGTGACTAACCATATCATCAATCTTCATGAACCCATTGGTTTGTAAAAATATGGATCTAGCCCTATGTGCTTGTTTGTGTGAGATAGGTCCTTGACTCAGCAGTCGACGACTGATGTGCTTCACCTCATACTGGCAGCATTGACATCCCATGACATTTCCTTGTGTCCACTTTAATTAGGGTCAGCCTGGGCACCCAGCTTAGACCAGTTACGTACATTTACTTTGAGGCAAATTGAAACTGAAGACTTCTTACAACATCCTTTAATTATATCATCATTTCATTTGTTTTCTTCTTTGAAGGGCTCAGTCCTCAAGCCTAGAACATCCTGATGCATCCAGTCTGGTCCAGTCCTTGCTGTCACCACCAGGGACACATCCCTCTCCAGCTTCCTCTTCTCCCATGATAGCCTACCTGTCTGCAGAAGCCGTCTTCGCTGCCGTACGCAAGTGCAGTCTTATCCTGGAGGAAGCCCAGGACGTTTCCGATGACGACGACGGCGACGATGACTTTCGAATGGACTCCATGGAGTTGAAACCTTCCAGAAGCTTGGAGTTTTTAGACGAGAGAACATCTGACCTCTCAGCTTCAGCCAGCCAGGAACTTGGGCTGTCCCCAGCATCGGGGAGTGGCAGTTTGGACGATGTTAAACCTCCCTACCCCTTGAAGACAGTGTGTAGTTCTCCACAGTTGCTGAATCAGATACAGGAGAGTGAGTTGGAACATGAGTGTCTTCCTTCAGGTTTGGCAGTGCAACAGGGGCATTATTCCCACGGGAAGATGGCAGTACCAGAAATGTTGGGGAAATATGACCGTTTGAGACACCTGAGAGGTGTGGGGTCTAATGCAGGTACCGCAGAAGGAACTAGAAGGCTGCAAACAAGTGATAGTGTTAGGGCAATATTTATGCATAAATGTGATGCTCTTAGTCCCAGACAAGAGTTCCATGTTGAAAGCTTGAACTATACACAGCATCATAGTGGGGCATCAGTCGCTAGTCCTGTTGAAAAGGAGTGTTTAGTTGAAGGAGGTAGTGGTAGAGAAGGAATCAGAAGTGAAAGAGGGGACATTGGTAACACAAAATGTGATTATTCACAGAATCACTGTGAACAGTTAAACAGCAGTGATGCCAGCTGTGATGTATTAAGGACAGCAGGTGAACATATGGTTGCTTCAGAGACAGGCTCTGCTTGTGTTGGAGCTGGATGTGAGAACTCTAGTCCGTCATCCAGCAGGGGCAGCAACAGCAGGAGTGACCTGCAGCCTCAGCAGGATGTTAGAACATGCAGTGAGAGAAGATCACTGATAACAGAAGCAGCTCAAGACTTGCAGATGAGAATACTCTCTGGTGTATCTGCCAGAGAGAAAAGTAGGTTCCAGAACAAGGACTCACAAACAGCCCAAAATCTGCAGACTTTATCTTCTAGAGATGAAAGCGGGACTAGAAACAGAGACCCACCCACTGTCCCAAGAACCCAAGATCTGCAGGCAAGAAAACCATCAGGTGTATTTTCTAGAGATGAAAAGGGATCCAGCAAAAGAGACTCATCCCCTGCCCCAGCAAACCAAGATCTGCAGACAAGAGCACCATCAGCTCTATCTTCTGCAGATGAAAGTGAAACTCAGATCGGAGACTCCCCCACTACCATCACCAATAACAACAATAATGTAATTACTTTAACCAGTAGCTCACTCACAGCAGGGTCTTCTATAGCTCCTGCTGCCTGCACTGCTCAGTACAACGGACAGTACCCATCTCATCGGAAGGATCTGCCTCCTGGGTCTAGAGCTGTGGAGTTCTCAGAGATATCCGATTGCTGTGACTGCATGGATGAACAGGCCAAAGTGTCCGCTTGCTTAGGGGATTGTGGGCTGCCCAGTTCGTCACATCAGTCATCCAGGCAAGGACATTCTAAGCAGAATGGTATGACCTCATCCTTCTGTAAAGTGGGGAGTGGTTCCCCTGTGGTGCAGATTGAGTCCAAATGTTGCTCAGTTGTGTGAGGTGGGTTGTTTGAGGCATGCTGTGTGGGATGGGTTGTGTGAAGTGGGTTGTTTGAAGCAGGCTGTGTGGGATGGGTTGTGTGAGGTAGGGTGTGGTTCCCCTGTGGTGCAGATTGAGTCCAAATGTTGCTCAGTTGTGTGAAGTGGGTTGTTTGAAGCAGGCTGTGTGGGATGGGTTGTGTGAAGTGGGTTGTTTGAAGCAGGCTGTGTGGGATGGGTTGTGTGAAGTGGGTTGTTTGAAGCAGGCTGTGTGGGATGGGTTGTGTGAGGTGGGTTGTTTGAGGCAGGCTGTGTGAGGTGGGTTGTTTGAAGCAGGCTGTGTGGGATGGGTTGTGTGAGGTGGGTTGTTTGAGGCAGGCTGTGTGGGATGGGTTGTGTGAGGTGGGTTGTTTGAGGCAGGCTGTGTGGGATGGGTTGTGTGAGGTGGGTTGTTTGAAGCAGGCTGTGTGGGATGGGTTGTGTGAGGTGGGTTGTTTGGAGTATGACTCCACACCTTGGAGTGGGATACCATTAAGAGAAATTGGATTACTGTTTACCTGATTTGTTCTCATTATATTTCCCCTTGTGGGTTTTGAAGTCAGTGACTAAGTCTGTAATTTACAGTCACAACCTTTGAGTCTGACTTGTTTTAAATAATGCAGTTATAGGACAGAGCATGTTAACCTTAAGGGTCAGGAGAAGGTCAGAAATCCATACCTTTGTAGGGAATAACCATCAAATGTATATAGAGTGTTCAGGTACAAAGAGAAAAAGTATACTCTCCCCCCCCCCACCCCCCCCCCCCCCAATCAACATCATCATCGGGTGCCTTGCCGACTGGCATGGGCGATCATGCCTCTCCACAATCTGCAATCTCCTGCAGCATGTATCAGTTTGTGTGCTGACACATCTTCATGCCATGCAACAAGACTGTCAAGAATCTTCTCTCGTTGTCTTCCTCTATTCCTTCTTCCACAGATCTTTCCAGTGGTCACAACATGTTCCATTTTCCCTCTTCTCACAACATGGCCAAAGAATGATGATTGTCTCCTGATGTCTGTGATTTGTTCTCTTTGGGCTTCCGCATCTTTCAAAACCTCTTGGTTGCTCTCTTTTGGCTGTCCAAGGTATTTTATGCATTCTTCTGTAAAATCACATCTCTGAGACCTCCAGAAATTGTTTGGCCTGCCTACCGATCGTCCAGGACTCACAACGATGTGTTAAAACTGGATGTATGTAGCAAGCCAGAATTCTTTTTCCAACCTTCAATAAAGAATGTCAGAAAAGCCAGCCAATTCTGGATGTCTCCTCTGAAGTGGGAGTGCATCTGTTTGACAGGTGAGGCACCAACAGGCTACATACAAATAAGTCAGATCTGTCAAACGGATGTCTGACAGGTGAGGCACCAACAGGCTACATACAAATAAGTCAGATCTGTCAAACGGATGTCTGACAGGTGAGGCACCAACAGGCTACATACAAATAAGTCAGATCTGTCAAACGGATGTCTGACAGGTGAGGCACCAAAAGGCTACATACAAATAAATCAGATCTGTCAAGCGGATGTCTGACAGGTGAGGCACCAACAGGCTACATACAAATAAGTCAGATCTGTCAAACGGATGTCTGACAGGTGAGGCACCAACAGGCTACATACAAATAAGTCAGATCTGTCAAATGAATGTCTGACAGGTGAGGCACCAACAGGCTACATACAAATTAGTCAGATCTGTCAAATGAATGTCGGACAGGTCAGGTACAAACAGGCTACATACAAATAAGTCAGATCTGTCAAACGGATGTTTGACAGGTGAGGCACCAACAGGCTACATACAAATAAGTCAGATCTGTCAAACGGATGTCTGACAGGTGAGGCACCAACAGGCTACATACAAATAAGTCAGATCTGTCAAACGGATGTCTGACAAGTGAGGCACCAACAGGCTACATACAAATAAGTCAATCTGTCAAACGGATGTCTGACAGGTGAGGCACCAACAGGCTACATACAAATAAGTCAGATCTGTCAAACAGATGTCTGACAGGTGAGGCACCTACAGGCTACATACAAATAAGTCAGATCTGTCAAATGAATGTCTGACAGGTGAGGCACCAACAGGCTACATACAAATAAGTCAGATCTGTCAAACGGCTGTCTGACAGGTGAGGTACCAACAGGCTACATACAAATAAGTCAGATCTGTCAAACGGCTGTCTGACAGGTGAGGTACCAACAGGCTACATACAAATAAGTCAGATCTGTCAAACGGATGTCTGACCAACAGGCTACATACAAATAAGTCAGATCTGTCAAATGAATGTCCTCCCAGAGTTTGGCTCCAGAACAGACACAGGGAGACTTGAGTTTAGTCGACATTTAGAAAAAGAGCGTGTCATAAGAAGAGGAAAACTTAAATCTGTTTGATAATGGGGAAATTGGAGAGCGAGAGAGAGAGAGAGCATTACACAACAACATTGACAGTTATGGCATCATAACATGGCATGAAAGCCCATCTGTATCTCAGTTATTGACAGAAAACAAGACAGAAGGCTGTGTTCAGACAAGGTTACCAGCGCCACAGGAAATGAACTGTAAAGAAGAAGAAGAATCTTATGAAGCTTACCTATACGTCATGTAATCCATTTGCTTGTTTTGAAACTTTACACCTGCATTCTTTTTCATCAGCATTTCTCTTTGTTTTCATGTAGTTTTGTAATCCTGATGTGGGTTCCAGGGCCCTACTTTGCCAGAAACAAGAATAGACTCAGTAGGGCTCGGACAGGTCTGTTGTGAGAGGCAACTGACCAGGGTGTTTCCTTTGAAATGGGAGGTCATCTGCCTGAGAGGCGAGGCGACTGCCGGTCTGCATACAAATAAGCAAGATCTGTCAAATGGATAGGCATGGAAGATTCAAGTTCTTGAACAAGATTAAAGTCTGGAAGTGGACGAACTCGCAGAACTTAACAGCCGGTGAAACCTGAGATAAAGGACGGGAAGATGAAGAGGAAGGAGAAAAAAAAAAGATTGATTTTTAAACAAAAAACTGTTTTAGTTACCCTCTCTAAATGTTATCCTTTGTATGTTTGTTTTATATGTTTTTGTAAATGTGTTAATCCCTTGAAGCAATATATATATTTATGTGGCTTTCAGAAGAATGCTGAAATACTTTTGAGAGAAATAGTGCATAATCTAAATATTGTGAAAGAGTCTACAGTACTGGAGGAGAAGTTGAAGGCTGACAAGGAAGAAATAGACAGTGATACAAGTTGGATGGTAATATCAGGAGATGGTCAAACAGTAGTCTTAGAGAGTGCAGAGCTAGAACAGGAGAGAGGGAGTGTATGACCAGGATGAGAGACCAAGCATGTTGAACAGCTGTTACAGCCAGCCTGCATTGTGGAAGTGTCACTCGACCGATGGATTACAAATTGAAAGAGATCTCATGGCTTGACTAATAATTTAAAGACATCTCACAGCTTGATTCAGAATTCAGTCATTTCATGGGTTGATTTAAATTCAGACATTTCTTGGCTTGATTAAGAATTCAGAGACATGTCACAGCTTGATTAAGAATTCAGAGACATGTCATAGCTTGATTAAGAGTTCAAAGACTATCACGGCTTGATTAAGAATTCAGAGACGTGTCACGGCTTGATTAAGAATTCAGAGACGTGTCACGGCTTGATTAAGAATTCAGAGACATGTCACAGCTTGATTAAGAATTCAGAGACATGTCATAGCTTGATTAAGAGTTCAAAGACTATCATGGCTTGATTAAGAATTCAGAGACGTGTCACGGCTTGATAAAGAATTCAGAGACATGTCACAGCTTGATTAAGAGTTCAAAGACATCTCATGGCTTGATTAAGAATTCAGAGACATGTCACAGCTTGATTAAGAGTTCAAAGACATCTCACGGCTTGATAAAGAATTCAGAGACATGTCACAGCTTGATTAAGAGTTTAAAGACATCTCACGGCTTGATTAAGAATTCAGAGACATGTCATAGCTTGATTAAGAGTTCAAAGACATCTCACGGCTTGATTAAGAAAGAATTCAGAGACATGTCACAGCTTGATTAAGAGTTCAAAGAGATCTCATAGCTTGAGATAAGATGCATAGTCTAGTTTATAAGCTGAGAGAGTCTTGATTGTATTATTATTCTTCTGCCTTCTTTAGGATAGAAGTAAGATAATCTCTTTGTGAGTAATAATCGTTAACTCATCTATTGCATAATTCATTGTGTGTGTTAAAGAAATGTGATCAAATATTTCTGAGTTATATGACTGTGATAATGAGATAAACTCTTTGTGAGTTACAGAATTGAGATGAACCCCTTTGTCAGTTAAAGAAGTGAGGGGAACTGTGTGTATGTGTGACAGAAATGCCATAATTTCATCTGTTTCAGAACTCTATGTGATACAGAAATAATGTGATCCAATCTTTGTTAGTTCCAGGAATTTATATGTTCTTTATATATTACGGAAATGTGATATAACTGTGCACTGCAGAAGCGTTATTTATATGTTATAAAAGCGTAATATGTGTGTACATACAGCAAACATGAACTAATTTATTTGTATACTGCATGATTGTAGTACAAGGGCCATTCACTAAGTTCATGGACTGAATTTGTTTGAGTTGATAGACTGATTAATTCTTTTTCTTTTTCTGCTGTTTATCGCCTAGCGGAGAATAGTATCGCCTAGTGGAGAATAGTATCCCCTAGCGGAGAATGGTATCGCCTAGTGGAGAATATTATCGGCCAGCAGAGAATAGTATCACCTAATGATAATAGGCCCTGAGCCAGCATTCACCAGTCATCTGGTACTTGATTCTTTATTCAGCTTGTTACCTTTGGTAGAAGGGCTTTTAAGTATATATATATAAAATTTAACTTGCACAGTTCCTAGTGACTGCTAGTTCGGTAGTTGACGCAGGCAGTAAAAAAAGAGGTAGTTGGCTGGTCAGTGGCTGTAGTATTTTAGTGCATATAGTAGCTAAGCCCAAGCCCATCCCTGTTCTTAGTTGTCTGTGACACAGGCTTCCAGTCAAATATGGCTGAGAGGCAGGCTTACTGATTTAACTTTTTCCATCCCACAAGGTCATACTTGATGCTCCAGTCAGTTGTAACATCAGCAAAATAATGGGTATACTACATCCACAGGGCTCCAGTGCATGTCTCTAGTGGGAGAGAAATGTGTTGTTGGGTGTTCCAGCATGCCCCAACTAAACATCAAATGTACAAGCAGAATAATTTGATAACTGGTACATATAAGTGAATCCAGTCCCACATGGTGTGTTGTATGGGACTGAATAGAGAGAAGAGAATAAACTTTGTGAGTTACACAAGAGAGATGAAACTCTTTTTGGGTTACAGAAGAGAGATCACACTCTTTGTGGGTTACAGAAGAGAGATCACACTCTTTTTTGGTTACAGAAGAGAGATCACACTCTTAGTGGGTTACAGAAGAGAAATCACACTCTTTGTGAGTTACAGAAGAGAGATCACACTCTTAGTGGGTTACACAAGAGAGATCACACTCTTTTTGGGTTACAGAAGAGAGATCACACTCTTTGTGGGTTACAGAAGAGAGATCACACTCTTTGTTGGTTACAGAAGAGAGATCACACTCTTTGTTGGTTACAGAAGAGAAATCACACTCTTAGTGGGTTACAGAAGAGAAATCACACTCTTAGTGGGTTACAGAAGAGAGACTACACACTTTGTGAGTTACAGAAGAGAGATCACACTCTTTGTGGGTTACAGAAGAGAGATCACACTCTTTGTGGGTTACAGAAGAGAGATCACACTCTTTGTGGGTTACAGAAGAGAGATCACACTCTTTGTGGGTTACAGAAGAGAGATCACACTCTTAGTGGGTTACAGAAGAGAGATCACGCTCTTTTTGGGTTACAGAAGAGAGATCACACTCTTTGTGGGTTACAGAAGAGAGATCACACTCTTTGTGGGTTACAGAAGAGAGATCACACTCTTTGTGGGTTACAGAAGAGAGATCACACTCTTAGTGGGTTACAGAAGAGAAATCACACTCTTTGTGGGTTACAGAAGAGAGATCACACTCTTTGTGAGTTACAGAAGAGAGATCACACTCTTTGTGGGTTACAGAAGAGAGATCACACTCTTTGTGGGTTACAGAAGAGAGATCATACTCTTTGTGGGTTACAGAAGAGAGATCACACTCTTTGTGGGTTACAGAAGAGAGATCACACTCTTTGTGGGTTACAGAAGAGAGATCACACTCTTTGTGGGTTACAGAAGAGAGATCACACTCTTTGTGGGTTACAGAAGAGAGATGAAACTCTTTGTGAGTTACACAAGAGAGATCACACTCTTTGTGAGTTACACAAGAGAGATCACACTCTTTGTGGGTTACAGAAGAGAGATCACACTTTTTGTGAGTTACATAAAAGAGATAAAAATCTGGTTGTGTCTTTCTACTTCTTTCAATGATTGCTACATATCTATTGATTATTTACTGCTTCTGTGGCCTCAAGGGTTTCCTGTCTGTTAACTTCTGTGTATTATGTCAGTCTCAGAATGCCTGTATTGAACTCCATCAGATCTAAGTGTTCATTTCTTCTAAGCTCAACCCCCTAAAGAGAGCCAGTAACAACAGCTAGGTACTGAGAGTGCTAATGTTAATTTGTTACATTCTACCATTTTCCCTAAAAACAATTCAGTCCCTGAACTTAATGATAGCCCTCGTAAACTGTGTAACACAAGTATGATGTATCTTTAATATTTTGTGAAAACAAATTTGTTGTTTTGCAGAAATACATGAACGTGTGTGTATATTGTGGACATGTAATAAATTAGTTATATGTTGCATTTAGGGAAAAAATTTAATTGTGTGTGATCATCATCATCTGGCCATGCTGTCGTATGTGACTTCGGGTTGGCAGTCTATTCCTCTGTCCTGTCCTGTGCAATCCTTTGAACGCCATGAAGGGAATCCAGTCCGGCTGCCTTTGCCTCTCTCCTCAACATTTGTTTTAGAATGTTACTCGGAGTTTCCTCACTTTATTTTTTCCCCATTTAATTGCTTGTGTTGTTATTCTTGCTTGCTTCTCGACATTTGTTTGAGAGTTTTTCTTGGCTCTGCACAGCTTGGTGGAATATTGATGCATGATAAGGCAGACGTGGTTAAGACCTTATGGCAGCACTTGTACAGTTGGGAACAGCAAGTTGATCATCACAGTCTGTTGAGAGTGATGCAAGGAGTGACGAGGGGATCTGGCGGATACTCGACGCTCGGAGGAGAGACAAAACAGACACATGTTCAGATTGCTCCTGGCACCACTGGTACTGGAACACTGCACTGGTTGCTGAAGATGGGGACAGAGTGCTTATGGTAATGCCCTGAGTGCTGTGATGTTGGTTGTTGAATCAGCCTAACTCAGCTCTTAGAGGTCCTTGTCTCCTCACTATATTTGTTCCCCATCGCAGTGCTTGTGTTGTGGTTCTTAACATTTGTTTTAGAGTATTTCTTAGAAATCTTTGCCTCTTCACTATATTTGTTTCCCATCGCAGTGCTTGTGTTGTGATTCTCCTCAACATTTGTTGTAGAATGTTTCTTAGAGATCTTTGTCTCCTCACTATATTTGTTTCCCATTGCAGTGCTTGTGTTGTGATTCTCAACATTTGTTTTAGAATGTTTCTTGGAGATCTTTGTCTCCTCACTATATTTGTTTCCCATTTCAGTGCTTGTTTGATAATTCTCTCCTTGCTTCTCCTCAAAATGTGCCAAATACACCACCATCTTCTTTGTCTTTTACTGTTGAGATTAACTAATTGCACATTAGCAGTTGTTTCATCAGTTGATGATATTTTCAAACTTGTTCTGTACCAAGCCCATGTTACCTTGCCTTACCCTGTTCTAAGAAGTATTTACATATGAAATCAATGTTCAGTCCATGGAGCTAGGGAAACCCTGGTAGAGCCGTGAATAGATGTTTGTCTGGTGTCCTGAAAGTCTTTGGTTTGAATCCACATCTTCCTCTGCGGTTTCTGGCGCTCTACTTTGGGGGAAGGCGGTGATAGACCCACTGCCCCTAAGCAAAGGCACCATAAAAGGTGACTGACTCAGATTTGCTGAAATCGGGTGCGTCTGAAAGGCACAGATGTAACAGCATATCTGTACACGTCATTACAACATATTAACTGGCAATTTAAGGGTGAACTCACATGAAGAATATTCCACGTAGAATCTGTCAAGTTTGTATTAAATGACCTTGACTTACAGGTCGACCAGGTCTACATTGGGTACCAGGTAATGCCAGATGGATGTCAAGACAACCGGCCGGCCATTGTGATGTTGATGACGTCTCCCACAGAATGCTGTCAGTGGCACAAATAGGCTCCTTTTTTCAGTGAAGCTAAAAATGATCATACTACCGGACGAAAAGAGTTAATCTTTTTGCCCCTGTAAAAATTGTTAAGAAATGACTTATTTAATTTTTTGAAATGTTGTTAAAAAGAAACACCTCGGGGAGGGGGGGGGGTGTCCAGTTTAGACATACCCACCCGACTTCTACAAATTACAAATTGTGCAGCTGCATCCAGTACCGGAGAGTTGTATTGGCCACTTTCTAGTAATTTCATTTTTTTTTTTTTTTTAGCGGTAGAAACCAGAAAACTGGCTTTCTGAGGAAACAGAGTTAAAATAAGAATTGGTACAAAGGGAGTTTTAGTAAGAATTGGTACAAAGGGGATAACAGCAAGAATTGGGACAAAGTGGGTTAATATAACAACCACATGGGTCCACAAGGAGAGTAGAAAGGTTTACCATCTGAGAGGAGCTCAACAAGCCGTGGTGAGTAGCTTGGTACCGAATAAGTTGATGTTACAGTCAAGAATTTGTCTGTTGCGAAAGTATTATGTATATGTTTCAGTTCTGCCATAAGTGAGTTGTATGCTGCAACAGTACAATAAATGACGGATAAGTTGCAGATCTAACATTGGATACTGTTAACTGGTATGTGAAGAAGCTGGCTGAATGGTTAGGGCAATGGGCTGGCCTGCGGGAAACCTTGGTTCCATCTTCAGAAAAAGGATGGAGTCTTTTTGTGTATGGGGGGAAGGAATGTATATGCTGTTTGAACAACAGGCTCCAGTAAAATGTGATTCCCAGATACTTCAGTTTGCTCTCTCTAGACGCAGTAAGGGTCAGGGGCTGACCAGAGGGAAGTCATGGACATAGATGGCTCAGGCGGAGGACACAATCAGACACGTTTGTATCCTGGAGAACATTCAGTGAGGAGAGGAGCCGGGGGTGCTGTGAGTGGTCAGTAGGTGCCACGGAGGTGGTAATTCAGCAGTTAATTCAAAATAGCGTTTGCCCTTCTTCTTCTTCTGCCTTTCTATCTCCCAATGGAGCATAGGCCCTCAACCAACTCACGCCAAGTCGTTCTATCCTTTGCCATTGCATGGAGCTCTCCCCATGTCCTCCCAATCTTTCTAACCTCGTTCTCCAGCTCTCTTCTCCATGTGTTTTTTGGCCTTCCTTTATTCCTATGCCCCTGTGGGTTCCAATGCAAAGACATTCTAGTTATGCTGTTCTCCTGTTTTCTCAGTGTGTGCCCTATCCAACGCCAGCGTCTTTTCCTCACTTCCTGATCCACTGTAACCTGTTTAGTTCTCTCCCAAAGTTCTACATTAGTTATTCTATCATACCATTTTATTCCCTCTATTCTGCGCAGGCACCAGTTAATGAATGTCTGTAATTTATTAGTAATTGCCTTGGTTGTTCTCCATGTTTCCGCCCCATACAATAGTACTGATTTGACATTAGAATTAAAAATTTTTAGTTTAGTATTTCTTTTAATTTCTTTTGACCTCCACAAATTCCCTAGTGCTATGAAAGCCCCTCTTGCCTTTTGTATTCTTATTTTAATATCTCTATCAGTTCCTCCATCTTTATCTACATTACTGCCTAAATAGGTGTACGACTCCACGTCTTGGAGTGGGGTGCCATTAAGAGAAACCACATTACTATTTGCCTGATTTATTCTCAATATCTTTGTCTTTCCTTTATGGATTTTCAGACCAAGCTGCTTTGATCTCGCATTAAGTATATTTAGTTTATCTTGCATCTGATTCCGTGAATGGGACAGAAAAGCAATATCATCAGCGAAGTCCAGATCATCAAGCTGTTTTGTAGGGGTCCACTGAACTCCATTCTTGGTGTTAGCAGTTACTGTTTTCATAGTCCAGTCTATAGCCAGTAAAAATAAGAGAGGCGACAAAAGACATCCCTGTCGCACACCTGTTTTTATTTCAAATGCATCTGTTAGCTTTCCCTCATGAAGAACTCGACATTTCATGTCTTTATATGTTGCCTTTACTAAGCTGATAATTTTCTGTGGGATTCCATAGTGCCCCATCAATTTCCAGAGAGATTCCCTATCTATGCTGTCAAATGCTTTTTCATAGTCTATAAATCCAATGTAAAGTGGTGAGTTCAGTTCAATGCTTTGCTCTATTATAATATGTAATGTGGCTATCTGATCAGTACAGGATCTGTTTGACCGAAAACCTGCCTGCTTATCTCTTAGCATTTTAATCTTTCCAATCAATAGCGTCTTTTACCTTTTTTGGGCAGTTTTTTCACAAGATATCTTCTTCCAAATTTCTTAATTCTCCCAGACTTTAATATTCAAAATATTCAACCCATCTGTCCATTTGATCTTTAGTGTTAGTAAGTACCTTTCCTGGACTATTTTTTATTGATCCAGTTGGCTGACTATATTTACCTACTAATTTTCTTGTGTTACTGTAAAGTTCTCTGAGGTTTCCTTTTGCTGCTGCTGTCTCTGCTTCTTGTGCTAGATCATTTAGATATTTCACTTTATCTGCCCTTATATGCCTCCTAACTTCCTTGGCTTCTGTGTATTTCTCCTGAGCTCTAGCTTTAGCAGCTCTAGTTTTGCTATTGTTTAATTCTGCCTTTTTACTTTTCCTATCTTCAATCAGTTTAATGGTTTCTGGTGTTATCCATGCTTTATGTTTCCTTTCTTTCTTGCCAAGAACTTCTACGCAAGATTCATTCCAGATTCCTTTGATCTGATCCCAGCAGACTTCTGTGTTGACATCTTCAGCTAACTGCTGCAACACCTGGTACTTATTAGAGACCGAAACTGAGAACTGTTCCTTAATTTCTTTATCTCTTAGAAAGCCTACATTATATTGGTTTCTATGATTATAAGATGTTTGTATCCTGGAGAACATTCAGTGAGGAGAGGAGCCGGGGGTGCTGTGAGTGGTCAGTAGGTGCCACGGAGGTGGTAATTCAGCAGTTAATTCAAGATAATGTTTGCCCTGGTGATGTGATTATTTATACAAATGGTTCAATGTCAAGAGGCAAAAGAAGTGCGTGGGGATTCTTTGCAAATCTTAGCAATCAGTCGGCGTTTAGTGCAGGCGAGCTGAGCGTATGTTACCACAACATCCAG